TTCCTCAGTCTAAGCTGAATCCAATGTTTTTCCTGCAATATGATTAAAAGTGTAAGAATGAAAGGCACACATAATAGCCAGTTTTAAAGGGCTGTGGGGATGGCAAGCAGATGTTCCTGAAATACTGGTGCAGGAGAACAAAGTCCACACAACATTTTCCTCTTTGTTTACCATTGGCCTTAATTTACTATTTACAGGAGTTTGCAAAAAATACATTATGTAAAAACTGAATGAGGTTCTGTTTTTAAGTTTAACTTCGTAACGTACATACATACTTCATCTACAAAAATTTTTGCAGGATCTGAAGAACTAAAGTGACACTAATACTGAAACACAGGTAATAAAAGGTACCAAAGCACTGATAATGTGAGTCATCATCATCAACATAATCTGGGTAAGTATTGCACACTTCTTGTCAGTTGTTGCTATGACCTTTACATATCCAACTGCAAAAGGAATCCTTTATGGCTTTTTGCTGTATCACTTATTTGAAGAAAGGCTGTTTTAAGTCTCAACAATGAGTGAAGATTGTCATTGAACATGAGGCCTACATTTCAAAATTAGTTTTCCTGTATCATTACAAGAAGTATTGTATTCTGCTAATACTGTTTGACATTGAGCAGCTATAATTGATGATGCAACTACTGTCTTGTGTATTCCAGCAAAGAACAAGCCTATTAGAGTGATACAGCAAATGGTGAAAAATGTGTGATTCCATAAGGATGTGAAGAAGGACACCTTTTGTGTATCAGGATCTATCAACCAGTTCCAGGTACCAGTAGCTGTACAGACAGATACCACTATAAGGAGCATTCTCCAATGTCCAGTTGTGGGTTGCAAAAAAATGAATATATTCAGTAATCCTCCTCTCAAAACCCTTGAGCTCTTCTGCCTGCTCCAGCAAGTTTATGTCAGGTGGCAGCTCAGGTCACCGCCACGGCTCTGTCCATCAGAAAGAACGTTATTCTTATTGACTTAGTATTTGATAGCAGACAGCATGACTATAGTCAATAATAATTTGATTATGCATTTTAAAATAACTAAAAGAATATGATTGGATTGTTTCTATCATAACAGATTTAAGGGATGCATACCACATTTGCCATGATGTGATTATTATGTACTGCATGACTGTATCAACGTATCTATATACTCCATAAATATATATATATGAATAAATAGCTACCGTGTACCCAAACATTTAAGTGGACAAAAGACATAAACAGATACTTCTGAAAAAAAGACATACACATAGCCAACAAGTGATTCAGGGCAGGCAAGACCCAAACTTGGGGTTTAGCCTGGGAGTGTTCTTGACTTAGCTCAGGAAATAATTAAAGGGAAAGCCAATGGTAAAAGTAAAAGTAGACAGCAACTTTTATTGAAGCAGCAGTGTACACCAGCAGCAGAGGAACTGCTCCTTGTGGAGCAGGGCTACCCCATAGGCAATGTACCCAGAGTAGCAGCTCAGAGGCAACTCTGCAGTCATATTTATATTGACTTTTACTTATATGCAAATTAAGTGGTGGATTATGCAGAAATTTCTAGAAAGATGGTAATAACTTCTGGGTCACTGGTCATTGCCATGGAAATGGGCGGTAACTTCCAGGTATTGCCATGGCAATGATAAACTGACATGGCAGATTGGTGGGCATGTCTTGTGGAAAGCTACTTCCACCCCATCACTGTTTTAGCTAGGCCTCAATTTGGTCCTGTGTCTGAGCCTACCTAATTCCTCCCTCAGACACTAGATATTCATCCTTAATCTTAATGGTGCTGCAGAAGGGTGGGAGCCCATCTACTGTAACTGCCCCCTTCTGAGTTTATGGGAGTAAGCACTGCCTAGCATCAGATGACTAAAAAATCTCTGGACACTTGATCTAAGTGGCCCAAGTCAGTATGACCTGGAGAATGAAACCATCCTGCCTCAAGGCCCCTTAGATCAGAGGGATGGGTTGGAAGCCTTGTGCCAGCATTGTCTTTACCAAGAACTGTTTTAATCTAGAAGACACAACGTTTACTAAGAGGTTAAACAAGCAAGGGCTAGAAGAATAGTAACAAGACAGCTATCCAAGGTCCTAGGAGAGGTAAAAACCAGACTTGGGAAGACTTGGGAAGGCACTTCTGATAGTCTCCTGATATAGTGGGGTCAGTGTCCGGGTTATATCTATGTAACCAGGTAGCTTGTCATAGACTTTTTTGAATGTAACCTCAACTGGTCCAGAGTTGTTAATATATGTGCAGCAGGTTTTATTAATAACTGCACATATTCTTTGTTCAGCTAGTAAATTATTCAATTATTATTCAGTCTATTATCAAGAACTACATTTGCAAAAGACTCCAGGGACTCCTGAATTACCTTTAATGCCTGACCTGTGTTGCCAGCTAAGAATTCTAGGGTTTGTGTTAAATTCTTTACAGTTGACTTATGGTAAGCAAAGCTGCCCCAGGGTGCCACTAGTCCTATTGCTGCCCCGATTCCCACCAGAATGAATCCTATTGCTCATTTATTTCTGGTGTTTGGGGGTTCTATGCCATTATAGACTGTGACCCCTGAAGGGGCAAGGGTGGCCAACATACTTTCACCTCTGTTCCAAGGAAACCTACTTCTAAAAGAACAGCTGACTTCCTCGGGAATCAGGAGTCATCATGGGATGTCCATTTTCTCCATTCATGGCCACAAAAAATGAGCCAAGTTGGGGTAAAAATAGAGACACTATGGGGTGTGATGTGTATCCATTGCTGCCCAATTGGGCCTATAGAGATATTGTTTCCCTGTTCCAGTGGGGGTGGCCAATCTTTGTTTTTTAGAAGGGAGTCATACTCCCTGCTTCCAAGATAAAGTAGTTCTTTTTCCCTGCATGTTTTGATATAGGAAAAGGCATCCATCATATATGCTCTCCTCACTTACAAATGAAATCCCATTTACCTTGCTGCAAACTTGGGAACTTGGCAACTAAAGTTTCATTAGAGCATTGCAGGGAAACTTCTACTTTTGTGTCATTAACACAACAGTGAGTGCAAATGGCAGAAACATTAGTGCACTGGAGAGATAAATATCCAACTTCCCAGGTCTACAAAATAGTAGTGGTGGTGGGGGGTTCAGGTGGAATTCATTAAGTGGAGGACTTCCACTTAACGAATAGGGGTTTGGGTACTTTGGTATCACTATGTTTAGTCAGAAGGTCTGGAGAGACAGTCATGAGATTTTTCTGGATAGGTCAGAAGACAGAACTGTCTGTCCTGGAGATGTTAATGATAACTTTAGCAACCATAAAGATGGTTCCCCAATTCTATAATTTTGAAATATTTGCTATAGAGTTTTGTTCCCATCCACACTGGATCTGAGTAATTGGGAGAGCAAAGAGGATTAACAGTGGCAGCATAGTGTACAGTAAGGCCTTAAAGTGGCGTGTATACCCAACAAGGACAAAAGAGATATTTCCCAGGAGAAGGCAACTGGCTAAAGTGATAGAAAAGAAGTATCATAGTCAAGAAAAAGGTAAAAATTAATGCTCCTATTCCCACCCACAGCATGACGTTATCACTTCTGGCTGAGTGTTGATTCTTTTAAATAGGTCAGAGAGGTCTTCCAAAGGTTTACAGATGTAGTGTATTAGCCCGTTTTCACACTGCTGATAAAGACATACCTGAGACTGGATAATTTATAAAGAAAAAGAGGTTTAATGGACTCACAGTTCCACGTGGCTGGGGAGGACTCACAATCATGGCAGAAGGTGAAAGTCATGTATTACATGGCAGCAAGCAAGAGAGGATGAGAATCAAGTAAAAGGGGTTTCCCCTTATAAAATCATCAGATACCACAAGAATTATTCACTACCATAAGAACAGTATGGGAGAAACCACCCTCATGATTAAATTATCTTTCACCTTATGGGAGCTATAATTCAAGATGAGATGTGGGTGGAGACACAGCCAAACCATCTGATATAGGTTGTGCTGTCCTCCCTTTGTGCCTGCAACTCATAAGGAACATATTTAACCCCAAATAGGTCTATCCAAGTAGTTATTCCCTGACGTTTAATGGTGGTGGGGGTATTTAACAATATCTGGTAGGGGCCTGATATGGTTTGGATCTATGCCCCCATTGAAATCTCATGTTGAATTGTAAAGCCCAGTGTAGGAGGTAGGGCCTGGTGGGAGGTGATTGGATCATGGGGACATATTTCTTGTAGATGGTTTTGTATCATCCCCTTTATACTGTACTCACAATAGTTAGTGAGTTCTCATGAGATCTGGTCATTTAAAAGTGTGTGGAACCTTTATATCTTGCTCCTGCTCTGGCTATGTGAAGTGCCTGCTCTCCCTTTGCCTTCTACCATGATTGTAAATTTCCTGAGGCCTCCCCAGAAGCCAAACAGATGCCAGCATTATGCTTCCTGTATAGCCCACAGAACCATATGCCTATTAAACCTCTTTTCTTTATAAATTATTCCGTCTCAGGTATTTCTCTGTAGCTATGTCAGAACAGCCTGATACAGGACCTTTTCATTTGGGTTGTAACTGATCCTCAGAGGACCCTTCTTTTTAGTACGACTAAGTCTTCTGGTTAGAGGTGATACTTTATTTCTATATTCTTGAACGGCCTTGTGAATCAAGCCTAAATTTCAAAGAGGGTATAGTGAGGTGTGTCCAACCTCCTGTTTCCCGTCATGGCCTGAATTTGTTTGTTTGTTTGTTTGTTTAAGACTTCTTTGGAATTTCCTTTGGCCAAGAGACTTAGAGTCAAAAACCTGCCATTGTGGGAAGCTGTATATTGGGCCAAGGGTCCAACATTCCCAATAAATTTACTTGAGGAAGGCAGCTCACTGGGGCTAGTAAAAGAAATGTAGCGATGGGGAGATTTTTTCTGTCTCACCAGAGACAGTCAGTACATTCTCATTGCCAATGACCCTTTTGTTTATACTGGGCACACTGATTCTGGTCTAGTGATTCAGTGGGCCAGTGAGTCGGAGACTCTTATTCGGGCATTCCAGATGCCAATCTCGTAATGCTTTTTTGGGATGGTAATTCTGATGTGGCATGGGACTTAAAGGGACTGTTAATGATTGCACTTTTTGGCTATGATTTTTTCTCACCTCTTTTGCCCTGTCCCTATTGTTATAAACTTTAAAGGCATTGTTTAAGAGTTGGGTTTCAGGGGCTGAGCGCAGTAGCTCATGGCTGTAACCCCAGCATTTTGGGAGGCTGAGGCAGGTGGATTACTTGAAGCCAGGAGTTTGAGACTAGCCTGGTCAACATGCTGAAACCCTGGGTGCCTGTAGTCCCAGCTACTTGAAAGGCTGAGGCATGAGATTAGCTTGAATCCTGGAGGTAGAGGTTGCAGTGAGTCAAGATGGCATCACTGCAATCCAGGCTGGACAACAAAGCGAGACTCTGTCTCAAAATAAATACATAAATAAAAAGAGTTAGCTCATAGGGATTTGAGGTCTCATTGCTGCTTTTTGTATTTTTCTCCTAATGTCAGGGGAAGGATGAGCAATAAAATGGATGCCCAGGAGTGCTTGCCTTTCTGGGGAGTCTGAGTCTGCATTAGTATATTTCCCGAGTTCCTCTATCAAACAACCCGGAAACAGAGCAGGATTTTCATCTTTTACCTGAGTTATTTTTCTAGCTCTGTCATAATTGACTGGCTTAACCACAGATGTTTCCCTCCACTTTTTTCCACAGCACAGCGAACAGATGACAATATTTGTAAGTCATGACAAGTTAAATCAAAGGACATGGTCAACATAACACATTCCTGTATAAACTTTTCTGAGTTTTCTAAAAATTGGCCAAATTTTTCCTCATATAAATCCAATTTAGACATTAAAAATGGCACATGTACCCTATTTCCATTAGCTACCTCCTGCGATGGACACAGATTTTACTTTAGAGGCTAATATGGGGCTCCACTCA